ATTTGAATTAATGCTCTGCTTTAGGCTGGTTTTACCAAGAAGGGTGCTCTATCTTTGACAATGGATTTAAATGTAGCAAAAGGGGGGCCTGAAGCCATCTTTTCACTCATGGGTTATTCTAAGGAGGAAGGTAACTTGGAAAAAAGCAGATTAAAAGATGGAGATCTGGCCTGGAAATGTGTTTGATGCCCTGAATCCAATGTGGACTAAATAACTGAAATTTCAGTTAAATTAGTTCTTTCATGCGTTTGTTTTATTGCTTAAACCAGTCACTTACTACTAAAAATTCCAAGGGATGCTGGTAGCACCAGAGGAGGCAAGGTTAATAATACAGATAAAGTAGGTTGTAGCCAGACCAGAGGGTTTGAATGCTTCCCCTGCAGCATGGATGTTTACATTCTATTCTGTTCTAAAGTGATCCCTCCTCAGTTCTACATCATCTCTAGACTTCATATCTTCAAAAATACCTTTGCCCCTTTTAATGGTTCCATTGTCCTCTTAGTCACTACTGTTAACTCATTCATCTTTGACTCCTTCCTTCCTCTCACTTTGTGTTTAATCATTTACCAAGACCTGTTGATAATCCTGTTTTTCTGCTCCTCTGCCACTGCATGAACATTTCCCACAGTTTGATTCACTTTATCTGTTTCTCCCATATTCTCTCCAAGAAGAAAACTATGTTTTTAAAAACTTTTCCAACTTCCAGATTCTACTTTTCCCTAAAACCATCATTCTGCCTCATAGTTGCACAGATCCTAAATTTATGTCCCCACCCTAAACACAATTTATATATATATATATGTATACAGATACATATATATAATTTATTCTGTTAATTCCTTCTGATATACATTGCTGTTACTTACACTGAGAATATCCAACACTTTCCAACTGATTCTCCTAGTTGATGTCTTGATAGAGACAGTATAGCTTAGTTGTTAAAGAGTGCAAAATTGGAAACTAAAGTGCCTGGATTGAAATCCCACCTCTTAATATTTGCATGACTTTGAGCAAGTTATTTCTCCGTTCTTCATTTTTCTCATCTGTAAAATGAGGAATAGCAAACCTATCTCATGGGATAATTGAGATATAAAAAATAGATGTAGTTGTGTACGTGTGTACGTGTGTGTGTGTGTGTGTGTGTGTGTGTGTAATAGTACCTGGCACATAAGAGATCTCGTATAAGTGTTGCCTAGTATTTTTTTTAAGTAGGCTCCACACCCAATATGGGGCTCAAACTCATGACCCTGAAGAGTCACACCCTCAACCAACTCAGCAAGTCAGGTGCTCTTTAGTGTTAGCTGTTACTAATGATAATCCACTTTTGTGTAATTCTTAAGTCTCTTACTCAAATTCTTCCCCTAGTTCCTGGGTCGGGTCAGTTACCAAATCCTGTTTGCCCTTTCATAGTATTTCTCTTATCCATCCTTTTGTTGGCATTACTAGTTTCACCACTATAGTTTAAATTGGAACATAGGAATTCAAGATATGTATAATTGGTAATATACAGAAAGCTTGTGGTTTTTTAAGATTTGTATTTATTTGACAATATTTCAAATTGAAATATTTCAAATTCCTAATCCTGGTCAGGATACCCTGTTTAATCTAGCCCTTGCTATCTCTCCAATCTCATTTATCCCATTTTCTCCTTTTCCCATAACACTCCCACCTAGAAATTTCCTTCAGTTCCTTGCTAATCGCCCTGTTCTCTGGCATTAGTACATGCTGTGCCCTTGCCTGAACCACCTTCCTACCTATTCTCATGGCTGGTTCCTGAGTCTTCATGTCTCAAAGTTCTAACTACCCTATTTTTAAGTAGGGGTCTCTCCTATCTCTCAGCTGCCCCGCCCTCCCCCACAGAGTACCCCCAGTTACTCTCTGTTGTTTTGCCCACTGTTTCTTCCATAATACTAAGTTTAAGTTCCATGTATATTTGACATTTGTTTTCTCATTTATTAACTAACATCCCCGCCATCACAGGGGATGTTAGTTAATAAAATAAATAAAAGTAAACTCCAAGAAGCAAGGACTATGTGTTTTGCCCACCACTGAATTTGCAGCATCTGTTTCAGTACCTGAGGTGAATGAATGAATGGATAAATGAATACATGAAAGGTAAAACATGCTAGAAAGAAGATTTTTAGGATTATCTTTGGATCTTAGATTATGAATGCAGGCAGATTATAATCCTATGAAACATTAGCCTTAATAATGTGTTTTGAAGTACAAAAGGGAGATAAACTGAAATCAAATAGCAAAATACGATAACTCTTAATAACCAGGAGTGCAGAGGAACAGTTAAAGAAGGCATACAAGGAGCACCTGGGTGGCTCAGTCATTAAGCTTTAAGCATCTGCTTTCTGCTCCGGTCATGATCTCAGAGTCTGGGATCAAGGCCTGCATAGCATCGGGCTCCTTGCTGGGCAGGAAGCCTGCTTCTCCCTCTTCCCCTGCTTGTGTTCCCCTCTCTCCCTGTGTCTTTTTGTAAATAAGTAAATAAGTAAATAAGTAAAATCTTAAAAAAAAAAAAAGCATACAAGATGTCTTTAACGGGTTTGATACTGAGTGCTCCCCAGTCACTTAAGGATCTCATTAAAACAAAAATTGCAATTCAGTTAGTCTGGATGGGCGTGAGATTCTGCGTTTCTAAGCAGCATCTGGGAATGCTGCAAATTCCAGGACTATACTTGGACAAACGAACACTGTAAAGTAGGGAAGGGAATCGCATGGTTGGCAGCAAGAAATAGAGAAAAATCCTAGGTTGGGGTATATGAAATATCCATTTTTTTATAGGTCCCAAACTTGTTGAATATTGACAATTAAAAAAAAAAAAAACTTTTCAGTTTGTATCCCATTAAATAAAAATCATTCAATAAAATGGAAAACAAATAATAATTTCTCCGCATTCTGACATTTATACCCTACTGAAATGAGAATGTGTCAATGAAAGAGCATATGGAAGTAACACTGACCCGCAGCAGCCTGTGTGAGGACTTGCTGGAGCAATGTGTATGTTTAGGCATGTGCACACACATGATTCATTTGAAAAAGACTGACTGGACTCACAGCCACTTAAAACATGCTAGAATTTTATGATTTTTACAAATGTTTAAGTCTTCATGAACTGTTCTTATGAATAAAAACTTACTGCCACCTGGTGGATTTAACAGTTGGAATGGAAATCTGTATCGTTTCATTCAGCTATCTTAAATACTGTACTCCCTCTGTTAATTTTAACTTAAGAAAACAAATATGTATTTACTTAAAAAAATTTCATTTAGTGGGACTTTTTTCATTTGGTTTTAACTGGAGATAGGACAATGTTTGTATTTATATGCATTACATGGTATTAAAGTTACATTTTAACCTTATAATGTGGCTTTTCATTTCCACAACTTTTATCCTATTTAGAAAGATATCCACCCATTTGTTAAAGAGAATTTTAGGAGTTGGACCTGTATAGGTTATTATTTCTCTTACATGTGTGCATAATACTATAAAAAAAAGACCATCTTGGGGCACCTGGGTGGCTCAGTCAATGGGCGTCTGCCTTTGGCTCAGGTCGTGGTTCCAGCGTCCTGGGATCAAGTCCCACATCGGGCTCCCTGCTCAGTAGGGAGCCTGCTTCTCCCTCTTCCACTCCCCCTGCTTGTGTTCCCTCTTTCACTGTCTCTCTCTGTGTCAAATAAGAAAAAAAAAAAAATCTAAAAAAAAAAAAAAAAAAAAGACCATCTTGTGCAACCCTCAACTTTCCCTCCCTTCATCCCAATATGTACGGTTTCAAAAGCCCTTCTTAGCTGTCTCAGAAGAAAGCGATCTTCCTAATCTTTTGCAAAGTTAGATCATTTGGTTTTACCTTACCTGGTTACTGTATTCAAATCTTTATTTAACTTTCCTCCCACTTCCTCATGGTCTGGCGCCTCTGTGATTCCTACTTCCTCCCACCCCCAAGAGCAGCAGTCTTTTCTTGAATCCATGTTGAACTGTCTCAATTCAGCCAATTTATTTTTGTAACTTAGTCTAGATTCTCTCACAAACATCAGTGAACATCCACAATCAGAATGATGGGTCATCAATACAAACAAAATAGAATAAAATGTTATTGAACTATTACATGCTGGATTTACCAGCCTTTTCTCTAAAAGTGGTGTTCATTACTAAGCCAAGATAAAACATCCTCCAGGTCTTTCGCAGTGTCCTAATTTTGTATACTTTTTCATGATGAATTCCTCTGTGATTACTATTAAAACATAGGAAAGCCTCACAATATATTTTTCTCACTTCTCCTGATTTAGAAACTTTACATGTCATGTACTTGTGATTCTATAATCCATCAGTGAGAGTACTTAGTAATTTTCTAACTTCATAACAGAATTATCGAAAACAATAATAATGTGTCCAGGTGTTTCTTATGTACTTTTCAGAATCCTTAAATTGTGTTTTTCTATTGAGTGGTTAATTTTTTTTAACAGGTAAGAGATTTCGAGGTAAAAAATGGTCATAAATTTAAGTATTTTCAGTCAAGTCCCCTAAATAATAGAGTTTAAAATCTGTTGATATAGTGGCACCTAGCTTGCTCAGTCACTGAAGCATGTTACAATCTCAGGGTCATGGGTTCAAACCCCACATGGGGCATGGAGCTTACTTAAAAAATAATAATAAAAATAAGAAAATAAAAATAAAATCTATTGATGTAAATGAAATGAAATGAAATTTCATGGTCATCTTTCATTATGTTCATTCATAGGCCTCTTTGGGAGTAAGCGACACGGAGGACCTGTATTATCTGTGCCTTTATCCAAAATGGGTCCAAAAGATGATAAACCACAGAAAAATATTAAGGGTTTAGTACAAATTCTGGTTTTGTTGGAGGCAATAAATATTCTGAAATACCTGAAAGTTTTTGAAATGATATATAAGCTATAATTCTAATATAAAAATGAAAATAAATCCATAAATGTTCTGATCTCTGATTGTTAAGGCAGTGACAAAACAGTATATAAATACTTTGAAGCTATTTATTAAATATTTCTATTTGGTGTCATCATTATCACTGTTTGAACTGTTAGTGTCATCATAAATAGAAGTGTTTCTAATTGAAGATACCATCACATCTACAATGTCTTTTTTGGGGTTTTCTTCTAAATCAGTCTGTATTGCTCCAACTTCTGCTAGTTTCCATTCAAGTTCTGCAATAAATAACCCATCATTAAATCCAGTAAAAATCTTGGAAAATGAAAATAACTCATTTATGCGACAAAGTAACTGATACTAATAAAATCAATGTGTAAATGAGGATATCTTTAGAATTGACTGACAATGAAAGTACTACAATATCAAAACACATGTTGGATACAGCAAAGTTAAAGGGAGAAATTGTAGCTAAAATGTTTATTGTAAATTGACTGAAAATAAGTGGCTTAAAAGTTCAAATCAATATAAAAAATAAAATTAAAAAAATTTTAAAAAAAGTTCAAATCAAGAAACTAGAAAAAAATAAAGAAAATAAGAAAAATAAAATAAAATAAGAAAAGCTGAAAGAGGAATATAATGAAGAAAAGGCCTAGCAAAAGTAGAAAAACTAAATCAGTATAGATGACCAACAAAATCAAAAGCTCATGCGCTGAAAAAACTAACAGATATACCTCAACAAAAATTATCACAAAAGGAAAGAAACCAGTTCATATAAGGAATTTACATGGGACATAACCAAAGTAAAGATTCTAATATGGCTATAAGACTATGAGAAATTTATGCCAAGACATGTGAAAACTTCAATGGGAAAATTTTAACAAAAATATAAATTACCAAAATATATCTGAGAGAGAAACCGAAAGAATTGAGCTGCTAACCAAAAACCCCAATCCCTATAAATTCATCATTATGTCAAATTTTTTCTTAAGTACTATATGGATGAACAGAACATTTATGAGGCAAATTACAAACACACTTCTGAGGAAAATTACAAAATATGTTACAAAATGTAATATATACATCTATGAGGAAAATTACAAAAGACATAAAAAATAAATGATGAGATATATCTCATTCATGGATTGGAACATCCATTGTTATTGGATATCAAATCTTCAACAAATCATCTATAAATATGATTCTAATAACAGGATTTTTCATGTAAGTTGACTAATTCCAACATTTAGATTTTTCATGTAAGTTGACTAATTCCAACATTTATATGAAATTTTGAGAAAGACTTGTGCTACTAGAGATAACTAGATTGTTATAAAGCTGTAGTACTAAACACAGTGCTGTTGATTGATTTGAGGATAGACAAATAGTATAGACTTCAGAAATAAATTGAAGCATTTTTGGAACCAGGAAAAGTGACATTAGCAAACATTAAAAATCAGTGGGGAAAACACCTCACATACATTAGGACTGTTACTATACATAACACATACATACAGAGAAAACAAATGTTGGTGAGGATGTAGAGAAATTGGCACTCCTGTGCATGGTAGGTGGGAGTGTAAAACGGGGAAGCCATTATACAAAACTGTATGCTGTTTTTCAAAAACTTAAAATAGAATTACTGTATGATCCCAACAATTCTACTTCTGAATATATACCCAAAAGACTTGGACTAGAACAGAGTAGTTGTACGTCTCTGTTTATAGCAGCATGATTGACAAAAGCCAAAAGGTAGAAATAACCCAAGTGTCCATGGACAGATGAATGGATAAACAAAATATGGTCTAAACATAAACTGGAATATTATTCAGCCTTAAAAAGGAAGGAAACTCTGACAGATGCTATAAAATGAATGAACCTTAAGGACATTATGCTAAGTGAAATAAGCCGTTACAAAAAGACAAATACTGTATGATTCACTTATATGAGGTATTGAGTATAGTCAAATTCATGGAGTCAGTAGGTAGAGTGGTGGTTGCCAAGACTGGAGGAGAAGGGAATGGGGAGCTATTGTTCCATGGGTATAGAGTTGCAGTTATGTAAAATGAAAAGAGTTCTAGAGATGAATAGTGGTGATACTTGCACAACAGTGTGAATGTACTTAATAACACTGAACTATATCCTTAAAAATTGTTAAATAAGTCCTGGGTATGTAATGCACAGCACAGCATGGTAACTATAGTTAATAATTCTGTATTAAACATTTTTATAAAAATGGTTAAGATGATAAATTTCATGTTATGTGTATTTTACAACAATTTAAAAAATTGTTTAAATATATAAACACACACACAAACCCCAAAACATGGACCAATAATACACTATTCATCTTAGTGATTACCTGTAGGGAAACAGGAAGGGGAATGGGACTAGGAATGACAATATAAGTAACTTCAACTATATCTGTAGTGTTTATTTGAACAACAAACAAATAGCTCACGCAAATGAATAAATGTTCACATTTGTTATTTTGGGGCAGTAATCAATTACATGAATGTTTGCTATATTATTGTTTGTACTCATGCATTAATTTTTTAATTAAAAGGGTGAAGTTAAATGGCTTTCACATGATGGTATGAGAAAAAGATTTTAATAATATAGATTAAAGCAATTCCGAGAAATGACTAGATCAAGGATATGGCCTTAGAAGTAGCTTAGCACGTAAAAATTATTAAAGACGTTAAAGGTATAAAGTACTGTGCTATGAAAAGAAAGGGACTTGATTAACTGACAAAATCAGATAGTATGTGGATAAGTGAAAGATAAATTGTACAGAGAAAATATGCTATAGATATTTAGTAGAGAAGAAGAAGACAAGATTATGAGTCCATCCAAAATCACATAATGAGAGAAATGGAAACCTAGGAGAACCACAAAGGAATAGGGTATGGGAGAGAGAACAAAGAATGGTAGGGTGTTTGGGGTATAGGGAACATATGAGACAAGGAATAAAGGCACAAATGAATAAGGAGTTTCTCCAGTAGTGGTTGAAGAACAGCTTGGCTGGAGCAGAAACTAGAAAACATTGAGTAATATAGTTGGGTAGGTAGGCTAAAATTTTCAAGCAAAGATTCTGTATTTTTTAACTTATTTCACAGAAAGAACTATTAAGGATTTAAGCAAGTAGTTGTTGTAGTAAGAGTATTATTATAGGAAAATTAATCAGGAGGCATACAAGAAGAGATTAGAAGGGAAGGAAAAACACCTTATATTTTATGGAAATAAACTTTCATGGTACTTGTTAATTTATGGAAGTTTTCACCTGTTTTTTTAAATAAACATTTTAAAAATAATATCATTACCTTCTAGCTTGAGATTTATCCCTCCACATCCTATAATTCCAATGAATTTGCCTTCTATCTGACCGTTTTTATAAACAAAAATTGTTGGTAAACAATTGTCATGGTAGTGTTGAATACAGCTATTCACGATGGCTTTAACAAATTTAGTTTCTGGAAACTTTCTTGCCAGGAGACTAAGATGCTGGTTAACCAACAAACACATTGGGATGCTAAAAAGAGAAATAGTACACAATATCTTTAAAAACAGACTACTTATCTCAGTCTAACAGAGTAAGTGAAACATCTCCATGACAAAAATGTACCTTTGTGTCAAATTAAAAAAAAAAAATCTTAAAAAAAAAAAAATGTACTTTTGGATATTTTTTTTTTTTTTTTTAATTTATTTGTTTGACAAAGAGAGAGTGTGTGCGGGTGGGGGGAGGGGCAGAGGGAGAGAATCTTCAAGCAGACTCCCTGCTGAGTGCAGAGCCCCATCCCTTGACCCATAAGATCAAGACCTGGGTGGAAACCAAGAGTCGGAAGCTTAACCATCTTGAGCCACTCAGGTATACCTCTTTGGATATTCTTTTAATATAACAGCATATCAACTCTCATCCTCCATTGTTACCTTTAGTAATGATAAACTACAGAGTCCTCCCATATTTACTGTAAACACAATTATAGCCTGGGAGTGAAGCATGCTACCATAGGAATTTGATGCCTAACTAAGGCTAACTACATCTGACCTAGCATCAGTTTCATGAAGTTAGTTCCCAGTTTATAGGACCCAGGAAAAATAAAACAAGACAGGGCACTTCTAGGGAATCTTTGGCAGTTCTGAGATGAAACAAGGGATTCCAACACTTTCCACCACCTTGGGCTTATTCCCACATGAGTTTATGGCATCCAAAGTGTCTCATCTCAAAATTCCTTGAATTTCTTGACTCTAACATACTTCACCCACTTTTCTTTGACATCCCACTCTATGCAGCACCCTGTTCCCCATTATCCAGAACTATTCCCCATCAGCTATTTAAGGGGCACCTGACTGGCTCAGTTGGAAGAGCATATGACCCTTGATCTTGGAGTCAAAAGTATGAGCCCCATGTTGGGTATAGAGATTACTAACAACTAAACTTAAAAAACTTGATTGGAAGTGTGACCAGAACCTGCAATTCTTTCTGCTATCACGAGACTCCAAAAATACCCATTCTTCAATTAATTCCTTTTCTCTCTTACTCACTCACAGCCTCATCAAACGGTTTCGGAGCCAATTCTTTATCTCATACTCATTTCGCATGGGAACGTTCTCTGTTATTTTGCTTTCTCTTTAACTGCTTCTTTCAATCTTCTCCACTTTCTATAAATATAAGTTACTAAATTTTTTTAAAGTTCTTACAACTCTGTCTCCTTCAAATAACTACTCTCCTGTTCATAGCCCAAATAAAAAGGAAAATAATAATCTCTATGCTCCATTCCCTTCCTTTCTTGTAAGGTTTTCCCTTTTTTTGGCTTTTGTGATAACACCTTTTTTTTTTCCCCAGTGCAAAAAAAAGGCGGTTTTATTAAAGCACAGGGACAGGACCTGTGGGCAGGAAGAGCTACTGTGATAACACTGTCTATTAATTTTCTTTTTATTTCTTTGACTTCCTCCTTCTATGACTCAAATGTAGATGTTCTTTGTGATTGTGTCCTGGATCCTCTTCTCACACTAGACACATTCACTGTGCAATCTTACCATTCTGATATCAACATTGATGAACATCATCTCCCCTCCTCCCTCAAAGAAAAAAATATATATCCGTATATATTATACATTTCTCCTGTATTTTCTTAGGTTGTCACTAAGGCCAAAAATCTCTATTCTCTACAATATCTAATCAGTAATCAAATCATGTTGCTTCTACTTCCTAATCTCATACCTAACCTCTCCTCTTTTTCACCATTACCTTTCTCCTTTCCTTTTTTTTTTTTTTTAAAGATTTTATTTATTTGACAGACAGAGATCACAAGTAGGCAGAGAGGCCGGCAGAGAGAAGAGGAGGAAGCAGGCTCCCCGATGAGCAGAGAGCCCGATTCGGGGCTCCATCCCAGGACCCTGGGATCATGACCTGAGCTGAAGGCAGAGGCTTTAACCCACTGAGCCACCCAGATGCCCCCTCCTTTCCTTTCTTATCTGAGCTTCATTAGATTGTCCTAAGTGGTCTGTTTCCAGTCTTGGTATCCCAAATTCATCCTTGACCCTGCTGACGAAGGGAGCTTAGCATGAAATTCTCACCATGCAACAACTGCTCTGCCCTCAAGCTTAAAATCCCTCAATGGCTCCTCACTGCCTTCAGTATAAAGTCTGGGTTCCTCAGTGTAGCTTTCATGGTTCTCTGTGGTCTCTCCAGAATTCAGGGGCCAGAATTTAACCCCAGAAGAACTGTAAAATATAAGGGAGACTTCTGCATGAGAACGTGAGATTAGGGCCTAGTTATGGTATTCAAGGCTTAAAATATGCATTTGGCTTAGGAATGACGTAGAAACCCAAAAGTGGAATTTGGACAGAGGTGTAAGACTGAATAAAATAACAGTCAAGGCTGACCTGAAGCTCAGCCACTAAGCTGGCCCAGGGAGATTAGATCCCCCTAGGGGACACCATGCAAAATGGCAAAAAGACATTAAAATTACAGAACATAGGAAACTACTTAAAAAAACAAACTCTTGGGGTACCTGAGTGGTTCAGTCCATTAAGCCTCTGCGTTGGGCTGTCATGATCCTGCGTCCTGTGTTGGAACCCTGCCTCAGGCTCCCTGCTTCTCCCTCTCCCTCTGCAGCTCCCCTGCTTGTGCTCTCTCACACACTCTCTCTTTCAGATAAATAAAATCTTAAAAAACAAACAAACAAACAACAACTCTGTTCCTGTAAAATTTATAGAAGGCAGCTAGAAGGGGCACCTGGGTGGCTCAGTGGGTTAAAGCCTCTGCCTTCGGCTGGGGTTGTGATCCCAGGGTCCTGGGATGGAGCCCTGCTGGGGCTCTCTGCTTGGCGGGGAGCCTGTTTCCTCCTCTCTCTGCCTGCCTCTCTGCCTACTTGTGATCTCTATCTGTCAAATAAATAAATAAAATCCTAAAAAAAAAAAAAAAGAAGGCAGCTAGAAATGCAAATATATTTAGCAGTTATACTCTACTTTACAATATGGAAAGTTACGAGTCAATCCATTATTAAAAACTAGACATTTGGGGCGCCTGGGTGGCTCAGTCATTGGGCATCTGCCTTTGGCTCAGGTCATGAACCCAGGGTCCTGGAATGGAGCCCCACATCGGGCTGCCTGCTCAGTGGGAGGCCTGCTTCTCCCTCTCCCACTCCCCCATTTGTGTTCCTCTCTCCCTGTGTCTCTGTCAGATAAATAAATAAATCTTAAAAAAAAAAAAAAATGGAGTTTTCTAAGGACTATTTGTCACACAAGTAATTATTTTGTTTTATTAATTTGATTATAGATTAATTTTCTTAAAATGTGTGTTTTATACCAACGTATTAATGCATTATCTTAATGTCAAGAGAAATGAATATTTTATGTAACTATCTTAGACTGACTGAACCTCAAAAAATCTTCCAGGGTCACAAATACTTAAATTATTTAAAAGATGCTTATTCTTTGAGTCCATCAGAGGAAATGAGAGTTTGAAACAGCCTAGCTGAAACTGTAACACATTTGATCTCTTTCATGAATTTTTGAAAATTATTTGTCCAATCTAATCATTTATCTAGAAATAACCATCAAAGTAAGTAATTTTATGCTGTGGTATGGGCATTCAAAACCAGCATCCATTCTGCTAATCATACTGGGTCCCAGAAAAGATACTCAGTGAACCACTTCAGTATGTAACATTTCTCACACAGAGATCCCACTATTGTAAATGTCAGTGTGCCTCATACTTCCTGGTGAGGAACCAAAATCAGCATCATTTACGAATTGGTTTAACCAGCTAAGTGGTACGGGAAAAGTGGGAAATGATTCTTTTTAAGGCTTTCAGCTACTCAAAAATTAATTACTAAGCATTTTAGTTACAATGACAGTAATGTCTTCTTTAATGGGACATGGCCTCCTCTCAAAATTTGTGCGAGAAACTGGTAAGCTGGTAAACAGCGGGGCTCTAATTTGCATAAATTGCTCTGTGCAGAGTTTCTGTGAGGACCTGAAAAGAGAAGAAATTTTTTATTCAAAGAATGAGATGAAGACAATGGGGGAAACTCATGTGGCCTCTGTTCCTGGACTGGCTTGGAGCCCAGGCAGAGTAGCGGGGACCTAATGCTGGAGAGATCTGTGAAACTCTAGGAGCTAGCAGTGTCTCTGTGGCACAGAGTTGGAGAAAGTCCACTCTACCCAGTTACTGTATACTAGGCTGGTAGGTCAGGGGACATTTGGGTTACACTTAGTACAAGTAGGCACTATAAATTAATTGATTTAGGAGCATAGGGGAGTACAAAGGAATTGTTCCATTAAAAGAGACTTAAAAGACATGATATATCCAAATGCACTGCATGACCCTTGACTGGATCCTTCGTCAATTATTATTAATTTTGGAATTATTAGTAATTTTGTTAGATGAGAAAACAGCATTATGGTTATATAGAAAAATGTCCTTATATTTTGAAGATGCATGCTGAAGTACTCAGGAAGAAAGGTTTATGCTGTATATAATTTACTTTGAACTGATTCTGCAAAAAATACACATGCACACACCTACATATAAATAAAAACATACAAAAGTGGGAAAATGTTCATTTTTGAATCTACCCAGCTGGCCTTTAGAGTGTTCATTTTATCATTCTTTCTACTTTTCTGTATGTTTGAAATTTTCCATAATAAATTAAAAAAAATAACTGCCTAAAAGTGTTATTTTTCTTCTTTTTTTTTTTTTAAAGTGGATTTATTTAAGTAATCTCTACACCCAACATGAGGCTCAAACTCACAACCCTGAGATCAAGTGCTGAATGCTCTTCTGACTGAGCCAGTCAGGTGCCCTGAAAGAATGCTATTCTCCTAAAAAGTGTGACAAGTTCTTTAAATTAGACATGAAAACATAATAAAATACCTAAATTCCTGAAGCCCATTACTCTCTACATACATGTATGTTTATGTTAAAAAGAAAGCCACAGGCCCAAGGTGGAATCACTTGCCCCCAGGACAGCAAAGACTTAATTACAGTTTCAACCTCTCCAGGAGTGATATCTGGAATTTTCTGGTTAGTACCAAATGAGGTAATCTGTTACAGAGCTCTCCATTCCCCAAAGGAAGATGAGGTGATCCATCTAATTAAAAACCCCTCCTGTTCCCCCTAAGAGAAAGTCACTTTGCCTGAAATAATCCTTTCTTTTCTTTTACTAATAACTTCCTGTCCCACCCTCCTTGCTATAAAAACCTTCCATTTTGTACAACTCCTTGCAATTCCCCTCCACCTGCTGGATAGGATGCTGCCTGATTCATTAATCACTTAATAAAACCAATTAGATCTTCAAATTTACTTGGTTAGATTCTGTTTTTTAATGTTATATATGCTTTCTTTTCTTGAATAGGTTTTGTTATATGCTTTATAAAATCTCAAAACCAGACATAAATATCTTAAAATATTACTAGTATATTAATATTTTGCAAAAATGTTATGGTAATTACCTTGATCTGTATAAATGAATTATAACTGATACATCTTTTTCTGCATTTGTGACTTCATTCACGTACTGATTTCCAGAAATTTCTCTTAATTCCCCAAATTTTTGTTTTTTCCTAAGAGCTTTCCATTCCTGTAACCGCTTTTCTCTGATTAAAAAAATGAAATGGAAAAAGAAAATTATTATAGTCTTCAGGCCATCCCTAGATATAGTAACAATTTAGGGCAATGAATGTGATGCTAGTACCTATCAAACACTTTTAAAGAATGGTAGAATAACTATTAATGGTATTATAATACCAATTTTTTTCTTTTTTTTTTTCCCTTTTTTAAGATATTTATTTATTTGAGAGAGAGAGAGCGCACAAGCTGCAGGGAGAGGCAGAAGGAGATGGAGAAGCAGGCTCCCCGCTGAGCAGGAAGCCAGACAAGAGCTCATCCCAGAACCCCGGGATCATGACATGAGCTGAAGGCAGACACTTAACCGACAGCCACCCAGGCACCCCCCAATTTCTCTTTTCATATGGGCATTTGTGTTACAGGTATTGCAAAGAATAAAGAGTTAGCTATTGACTTTTAAATTTATTTTTATTTAAGACTAGGTCTTAATCATAGCTATAGAGAGTTTATTTAAACATTGAGCCAACAAATTCTCATACACAGGTTAAACACTTAGTAAGGAATATACATTAATAATAGCTGACATTTATTGAGTGCTTACTATGTTGCCAAGCACTGTTTTAAGCGCATTACATTAACTAATTTATCAAGTTAGTACTATTATTACCCTGTTTACATGCTCTTAACTATCATGCTAAACTGACCTTCAGTCCAAAAGCTTTGCAAATATGTATAATTACTTGTTATATTTTTATTGCAGGAAGAGAAATAACAGAGAAGAGTGATTACTCTAAGGTGAGACTAAACTGAGTTTAAATACCAACTCCCACTTGGGAGTAGCATGAACTCAAGTTATTTAATCTCTCTAAACTTCAGTTCCCCAACTGCGAATGGTAATAATATTAATACGTACTTGCATAAGATTGTTGGGGATTAAATGAGATATTCCATGTAGATGTCTTACAATGGTGCCGAGCACACAGAGAGCATTCGGTACATGTTACCTAGAGAAATTTGTCATCCATAGAGAACTTGGAAATGTTGTTAAACAACTGTCAATATTTGCATGTTTTGGGCACCTGGTTGGCTCAGTGGGCTAAGCATCTGCCTTCCACTCAGGTCATGATCCCAGAGTCCTGGGATCGAGCCCCACACGGGTCTCCCTGCTCGGTGGTGAGCCTGCTTCTCCCTCTCCCTCTGCCTGCCGCTTCGCCTACTTGTGCTCTCTTTCTCTGTCAAATAAATAAATAAAACCTTTTTAAAAAATTGCATGTTTTGATTTAGTTGTTGAATGCTTGGATTTATGAAGCACATTCAAATGGTTTCTGACACATCCGCAAGTTTCTGAAAAGTTACTGATTCTATATCTCTAAGTTATCTGGGAGTACATGCTCCATTCTTTCTCTGCGTATCAACTATATTTTCTTATTTTCTGCATAATTAAAAAAAAATTTTAAGTAACCTCTATGCCCAACATGGAGCTCAAACTCACAACTCCAGGAGCAAGAATCATGTGCTCTACTGACTGAGCCAGCCAGGCCCCCCGTTTTCTTATTTTCTGTACTGATGCTCTGGCATCTGGGACCTTGCTGATCCTGGAGGGACTGCCTCTCCCAGGACTAGGTAATTTCTAAAGATAGCAAGTAACCACTGCAGAACACATTGCTTAAAAGCAAACCAACCAATCCAGAGCTCAATCCCTCAACCACCTCCTTTATTGGCCTGAGTCACTATTCCTATTCCCTAAGCATGCCTGCGCCAAGAGTCAGACAACTGGGGACAGCTCCTACAGCCCAGAGCCTGACAAAATTATACAGACTAGCCAATCCTAAATCTGCTCAGCCTGTGTGGCTTGCCTTTTCCACGGAAATCACAGCGAAGTGCTGTGTTCATACTAACACCTCACTCCTGCCTCTTAGCCAACTCTGGTGCTTCCTTCTATGGCCCTGAGTTGCAGGGCATGCCCGCTGCTCTTGAGAACTGAGTAATAACCTATCCTTGCAATGGCAATTATCTCCTGTTCCATTGGCATGACCATACCTGAATAAATACAAAATCCCGGGTATATTTTAGAACACTCTGTTCTTATTTCACGTATTAGAAACAGGTCAGGTAAAACCACTCACTTTACATAATGAGTAAGCCAAGCAAAATGAAGCCTAGAGGAGAATGCCAAGAATAGGAATACAAACCTAGGGCCTTTTCACAACTTTCAAACTGAGGTCCTTCAGTTTTCTCTCTATTGACCCAGATATTCAGAATTTACGGTTACTCCAAAAATCTCTTGGGAGCCCTATTTTGTTCACTATGAGTATTTAGCATCACTACCATTAATTCCTCCAATTTGATCTCACTGGCTAGATCTACCAAAAATTTCAAAAAGCTTTCTTTCCAGTGATGGGACCACACCCTACTTAATAGTGTGACTGTCAACTACTTCTCTTCCTCCTCTACTCCCGCACCTTCTCCTCATTTTTCTCTGTTATTTCAGTGGATTGGGCAGGGATATTCACAAACACCCAGGTTGTTTTTGTCATCAGAAAGGGACGTAGTGTTCCATGGCCAGCATTTTTCACCTAGCAATCATTATCAGTTAGGATTCAGTCACAAAACCAGAAAGCCCTCCAGCCATTTTAAACAGGCTTAATCTGGGGGGGTTAAGCGCTTTACCCACTAGGTGTAAAAATGAAGATTCTAGGCTGAGCTACCAGGAATGGCTCCCAAAACAACACTAAAAACTGGTCTGCCAGGGGAATAGCTTGCTCTGCTTGCAATCCAGAAACTGGGGAATCTGGAACTACTGTTTCAATGTGTCCTACTGTCAGCCTACACTGGGGATCAGAAAGCCACGGCAGCAACCGCTGTCTATAGGGACCTAGCTCCTTCGCAAAGACTGGAAGAAAATATTTGCAGAAGACACATTTGATGAAGAACTATTATCCAAAATATACAAAGAACTCTAAAACCTCAACACTAAGAAAGCAAACAATGTGCTTTGAAAATGGGCCAAAGACCTTAACAGAGAACTCACCAAAGAATATGTTGATGATAAATAATGGTATGAAAAGATGCTCTACATCTGTGTCATCAGGGAAACGTAAACTGAAATAGTTAGAGACAGCTATGTATCTATTAAAAGGGCCAAAATCCAGAACTCTGACACCGAAAAATTGGGAGGATGTGGGATAACAGGAACTCTCATTCATTGCAGTGGGAATATAAAATGTATACCTTTTGGAAGACAGTTGGAGGTTTCTTATATAATTAAACATACTCATACCATATCATCCAGCTATCACGCTCCTTGGTATTTACGCAAAGGAGTGAAAACTATGTCTACACAAAAATATGCACGCAGGTGTTTATAGTAGCTCTAACGTTTATCATTGCCAAAATTTGGAAGCAATCAAGATGTCCTTCAGCAAGTGAATGGATACACTGTGGTACACCCAGATAATGTAGTATTAGTCAGTACTAAAAAGAAATGCGCTATCAAGCCATGAAAAGACACAGAAGAACCTTAAATGCATATTACTAAGTGAAAGAAGCAATCTGAGAAGGCTACATGCTGTATGACCCCAGCTATAGGACGATCTGGAAAAGGCAAGACTACAGAGACAGTAAAGAGATCAGTGGTTGCCAGGGATTGGCAGGAGGTGGGGAGGCTGGCAAATGGGCAGACATAAAAATTTTTCAGGCAGTGAAAATACTTTGTATGATACCATAATGATGGGTACATGTCCTGCATTTGTCCAAGCTCATAGAAAACACTACACTAAGGATGAACTGTAATGTACACTTTGGACTTTGGGTGATTATGATGTATCAGTGTGGGATCATCACTTATAGTACACCTATCTCTCTAGTGGGAGATGTTGATAATGGGGGAGACTATGCATGTATTGGGGCAGGAGGTATATTGGAAATCTCTGTATCTTCCACTCAGTTTTGCTGTGCATATAAAACTGCTTTAAAAAAATTCTTAAGGGGCACCTGGGTGGCTCAGTTGGTTAAACGTTTGCTTTTGGCTCAGGTCATGATCTCAGGGACCTGAGATAGAGCCCCACATCAGGCTCCCTGCTCAGCAAGGAGCCTGCTTCTCCTCCTCCTCCCCTGCTTGCTCGCTTGCTCGTTCTCTCTCTCTCTCTCTCTCTGTCAAATAAATAAATGAATAATAAAATCTTAAAAAAATAAAAGACCTAAAATTTTTCTGTTGTTTTGGCTATAATAAGGAATTTACTTTAAATCACCACTATCAGGATGACTACAGAATTTTCCCTTGTTAATAACTTTTGAAAGGTTCATGTTCCTTTTTCCTTTGAAGTGACAACAGAGATATGAAAGTAATACCATAAGTTGGTGGCAATTAGAGTTGGACTTTTGATATGGAATATGGCAGTGGGAGAACTTCCACACAGAGTATTTCTCTTTAATCTCTAGGGCAGAGATTGGCTGGGTGGTCACTGGTATAGCTTCTTCTTCCAGCGCTGATGGGAAGACTACATTGGCCAGCTTCCCTTGCAATTAGATTAGGCCTAGGAGCTTGGATTATGGCCAACAGGAGTGAAAGTGATATGTGCATTTCTGTGACTCATCCCTGAAATGTCCTATGCTGTCACTCACATTATCTCCCTAGTCCCCAAGCCTGGAGGGAAAGGATTCTGACATGATGAAGAGAACCTAATGAAAACAGCCCAGATCCCTAGTCATCACCCAAAGGAGAGCTGCTCAGGAGAACTGCAGGACACACACCACCTGTGGGTGAGGAACTGTCCTGCCTAAAACCATTGAGATCCTGTAGTTGTCTGTTACAACAGCATTAATCATCTCAATAAATTCTGCTGACACAAATGATTACATCAGTACAATTGCCATCCTTGAACAATCTTTGCATTCCTTGAACAAACTAATTATTCACTCTAGGTGATTATTTTAATATACTGATTTATTTGCCAATATGGTATTTAAGGTTTTAGCACCTATGTTTTACAAGTGAGACTGGTCTAAAGCAATGCCTTTCAAGTTAAGA